CCGTAATGGAGATATTCAATTTTTTGTTGTTGGGTAAAGTGACTTTTACGCCACCCTGTATAATATTATAGCCGGTACACAGCAGCAGCTAGCGTTTCAAATTTATAAGTTTGATAGTGAGACCTTCACTATGACCCAAACATGTTTCATTTCCTTAACTGACAATATAAGCGTCTCTGCTAAAGGTGATAGTTTGTGTTACATGCACTTTTAAAATTGTTTTGTCGTGTTCGTGAAGAAAAAACTTCAAGTTTTGCATATCGAGCTTAATCTGTAGACAATCTTTTTTACAAAACCAAAACTTGTTAAGTTACTTCGTTGAAACTTTGACTTTCATAATCAGCTTTTCAATCACACTTCTTTGGAACACCACTCACGGTTTAACTCACGAGTTTATGTTTATTTTCTAAGAAGATCATTTATAATCTACGATTCAGTTGAGTTACATTTAGCTGTTTACGATGAATCATCCAATCTATGGCAGAAGAATTCTTGATGAAAAATATCAAACAAAACATTTTATTATACAGAATCATTTCTGTCCTAAATTTTATGGTCTTTCTGATAAATCTGTCATGGATTGCAATTCAACGTTTAGCAAATCTTACTTGAGCATTTTCAAGAACCTTTATAAAAAAAATAATCTTTCTTTGCCGAAAAGGTTCTTTCTCTCGCGGAAAAATTAGAGATATAACAGTACTAGTACAGTAACATGAAAGCGGGTCAATACAAGTTCCATACAGTCCCCATAGTTCAGTACTATATTGTTGCTGGAACATGCGTCATTATAAGGTTTTAAAGGATTCTTAAAGGTTTCTAGAGATTTCTGAAGATTTCTAAAGATTTCCAGAGATTTTAGGGGCTAAAATCTGCTTTTTCCCCCTTGATTATTTTCTTATGTGAAGCCAAAGTATTTCAAAATTTGCCATTGCAAGCTTATCAATCATGCATTGAACGAACGTTAATTCAATTCTTTAGTAATATTAAATGAATGCAGATACAAATGATTAATTTTTTTATATGACTTCTTAACGTCACTAACTTGGTGACAAAAATGGATGAAGTGAGATCAGATGATTAAATTAAACTTCTTAATGTGATCATCGTGGAATCTCATTCGAGTTTGTCAAGAAAAAGAAAGAACAAAACAACTATCATACAAACTTGTTTCGATAATATTACATTTGGCTCAATCACTCGATAGAACCGATACATAATTGAATCTGGGTCAGATGACTCTGGAAGACCAAGACTAGATCCAATTTCATGAGCAGCAACTAAACGTAAGTTATAGCCTATCCCATCATACCTTTGTATTCGAACAATATTTTAATGAAAAAAAATATCAAAATATTTACTTACATGTGTGACCATTTTTCAGCAGAATTAAAATGAATATATCCAGCAGAATGACTCCCAAGAGGAAAAGAATGAGATATTTGTCCTCTAGGCCCATCAAATGGAACTTCATCTGAATGATCATCAGATATAAAAACCAAATTGAAATCAGCTTTCTCGCCTTCAGTCACTTCACGAAAACTTAATTCAGTATAACGAGCCCAATCATCAAATGCTTGTTGAATGTCTTCACGAATTTTACTTGAATCATATACTGAATGATTATAGTCCAATTTCCATGTCAGTGTTCGATTCGTTGGCCTTGAAAAGAAACAATTTTAGAACAACAAAGAAATGTTTCAATATCAAGCACTATTTCCTTTATATTAGTTTTTTTTTCACAGATAAATGTCATCTAAACCTATTTAGTTTTATATTAGAATGAGTTTCTATAGCTTGACTGAAAACAAATATTAGTAGATAGTATTCAATTATCAAGAGAAGTGAACATGTTGTGATTTTAGAAAGTTTTTTAAACTTTTACGAAGAAAAAAGAGGTACATTCGTTACCAGAAAACACAAATGAAAATAAGAAACGTTACCAAAGTTTGCTTTTAAAAGCTTCCGAATGAATTTCTTCATTGATTCGGTATGGTCTCACGACGATAATTAGAAGCGAATAACAAATAAGAAACACCAAGTATTGCATCTTTGTATGTAAAGCTAGGAGTAATGAATTAAAAAAGAAACATTGTTTTACAATGATTTTATAGTAATCATTATCTCTTTTTGTACATTAATGTAAACAATGCAATGGGAAAAATGATTA